GAGGGAGGGGGGGGTAGGTTGGAGGTGGGGGAGGAGGGATGGAGGTGAGGGGAGGGAGAGGGATAGTGAGAAGGGACTTACATGTGAAACAAGTCTGTTCCCTAACTTGAATTAATATATATATGAAGTTTAAATGAATATTAAATGAAGTTACATTTTTCTCATGTTTGGGTTTTTGAATGTGTTCCATTGGTCTACATATCTGTTTTTTGTGCAGTTCTGTATTGTTTTTATTATTATAACTCTGCTTTATATCTGAAGATATGGAATGGTAATCCCTTCAGTATTGTTCTTTTTGCTTAGGATGGTTTTGTCTTGTCTTTTAGGATTGTGACTTGACTTTTGTGATTCCATAATTTTAGGGTAGTTTTTTTTCTATTTCTGCAAAGAACAACATTAAAATTTTTATTCGAATTACATCAAATCTGTACATAGCTTTTTGTAAAATGCCCATTTTTCATGATGCAAGTTCATAGGATTTCTAGTATTTTTCTCTATCCCTTTCTCTATAGCAGTTCTCAACCTTCCTAGTGTTGCAATTCTTTAATAGAGTTCCTCATATTATGGTGACCCCAACCATAATATTATTTTCATAGATACTTTATGAGTATAATTTTGCTACTCTTATGAATCATAATATAAATATCTGTATGTTTCTGATAGTCTTATTTAGCCCCTGTGAAAAAATCTGTGACCCACTCATTGGTTAAGAACCACTGCTCTAAAGGTTTAAAATTTTCTTTGTAGAGGTCTTTTACTTGTTTGATTAGATTTATTCCTAGGCATTTTATTTTCTCTTAGGCTATAGTGAATGGGAATGTGCCCATTATCTCCTTCTCTGTGTGCTTGCTGTTGGTATGTAGAGAATCTATTGATTTATACAATTTTATTCTGCATTCTGCCACATTGTTAAATTTATTATTTCTAGATATTTTTCTGTTAGAATTTTTGGGATCTCTAATATATACTACCGTATCACCTATAAATAGCAGTAGTTTGACTTCTTATATCCCTATTTGTAACTCATTAATTTCTTTCATTTGTTGTATTGCTCCAATTAACTAGTATTTTGAGCACAATATAAAAAGGAATGGGGATAATGGATATCCCTGTCTCATTCCTGACTTCAGGGGAATTACTTCAAGATTTTCTCCATTTGAGATGATATTGGCCAAAAAATCCTTGAATATAGATTTTATCATGTTGAGGGATGTTCCGTCTAGTCTTATATGCACTGGGAGTTTTGTTATGATGACATGCTGGATTTTGTTGAGGCTTTTGCTATTGAGATCATCTATTGAGATGATCATGTAATTTTAGTCTTCAATTCCAATTATGTAATGTATTACATTTAATGACTTGCATATTTTCAATTATCTCTTCATTTCAGAAATAAAACTAACTTGACCATGATGTCTAGTCTTTTTAATGTATGTTTGTATTCTGTTTCAAAGTATTTAATTTAGTAATTTTGAGTCTATGTTCATCAGGAACATTGGCCAGTAAATTTTTTCTGTGTTGTGTCTTTACCTAGTTTTGCATGAGAGTGATAGTGGCTTTATCATAGACAGAATTTGTGAGCAGGAGTTCCCCAATGTTCAGTTCAGCTGTTTCTGTGGGTTTCACCAGCCTGGTCTTGACCCCTGTGCTCTTCACTCTTCCTTCTCTGCATCTGGGTTCTAGTTCAGTTGGGTGATTAGTTATAGGTGTCGGCTTCTACTTCCACCAGCTGCTGGATGAAGGCAATAGGATGGCATGTAAGTCAGTCATCAATCTCATTATCAGGGGGGGGGAACATTTAAGGGAGCCTCTACTTTGTTGCTTAGATTGTTAGCTGGTGTCATCTTTGTAGATCTCCAGACATTTCCCTAGTGCCTGATTTCTCTGTAAACCTAAAATGTCTCCCTCTATTATGATATCTCCATTCTTGTTATCTTATGTTCTTCCCCTGACTCAACCTTTCTGTTCCCTCATGTCCTCCGTATCCCTCCTCTTCTTCCCTTCTTGTTCTCCTAGCTCCCCACTCCTCCATTTTGTGATCTTAAGAGAAAATTTGTGCTTGTTTTCATAAATTCACTTAGGCCATTAGTCACTATTACACCAGTGGGTATAGCAGTCATTGTAGCAAGAAGGCTTGCAGCTGGATGCGATTTATGATTACCGTCTTCCTCTGGCAGTGTGTATACCACTTTCAAGTAGAGATGAAGCCACCAGATCAGTGCCAGCTGCATTTTGTCATATCGAATGACTCTAATATGTGATGCCTTTATACACAGGGTCTTATCACCAACTTCTGGATGGAAACTAAAAGCAATGTCAGTAGTCTATAATTCTTGTGATCTAGTATACTCCATTAACTAATGACTCCAAAAGCGATAACCCATCTTGGCACTGGGGTTTAATTTGCTAGTCTGTGGTATCTTGATGGGACATTGTTATATCTTTATAGGATACCTCAATTTAAAATCTTTTTATGCATGTATATGTATATAGTTTAGAAAGCTGCTACAGTAGTTAGTTTTCACATGGCTTTTTCAAAAGATCTTTAGTGTTAGATATCCTTGTCATTCTCTCCTAAGCCCCATTCTTCTATATTCCCATTCCATTTTACCCTTCCTGTTCCATTATTCCCATTTCCCCCTTCAGATCATTACATTCTAGAAATACTTTTAGGTAAGCTTCATATTTTCAGTAATTACTTTTATTTGATACACTTTTATAATTAATATTATATGAGGAATAATATTTTTAGAATTTAGTACCCTCAAATTATTTTCAAGTTAGTTCCTAAGGCTTTTTACATTTCATTGCTCTCATCTAGGGTGCTATTTCTTTGTTAATTAAAAAAAAAACTTGGTTGCTAATGTGTCTTTGAATTTTCTCTGTGGGAACATTTTGAGGTCCTCAAAGATAATTTGTCCTGCTTTTGTAAGTTTCCTTAGGTAATTAACAATGCAGAGTAATTTTGAATTTTCAATTAAGGGCCACACAGATTCCAGGGTTTTGGTTTGTGAGAATAAGGCTGGGGTTGAGATTACAGGTTCACAAGAGAGCGCTTTCTTTCCTGGTTACTAACACTTGTGAACACTGGTTGTCAACAGGATCTAGAACGATCTTTGGACATGTCTGTGAAAGCATATGTAACTTGTGTTAACTGAGGTGAGAAGACTCATCCAAAATGAACATTGGCCAGTAAATTTTTTCTGTGTTGTATCTTTACCTAGTTTTGCATGAGAGTGATAGTGGCTTTATCATAGACAGAACTTGTGAACAGGAGTTCCCCAATGTTCAGTTCAACTGTTTCTGTGCGTCATTCTGTGGGCTGGGTAAAAAGGAGAAAGGAAAATGAATTATTATATCCCTTCCTCTCTGCTTGTTGACTGTGGATGCAATATGACTAGCAGGCACATGATCCTGCTGCTGTGGCTCCTTCATCATAAAATGTCATATCCCCAGATGCTAAGAATAAACTCTTCATTCCTCAAGTTGGTTGTGTTATATGGTTTTGGCACTACAACAAGAAAAGTAATTACTGTAAGTTCCAAGGTTTGTATTATGACATTTCATGCCTGGACTATTTTATTATCCTTAACATTTTTAAATACCCCCTCGTGTGTGTGTGTGTGTGTGTGTGTGTGTGTGTGTGTGTGTGTGTGTGTGTAGGCACATGTGTTGCCACAATGCATCTAAAGAGGTTGGAAGGAAACCTCAGGTGTAAGAAATCTACTACCTTGTTCAAGACTGTGTCTTGTTATTTATTTTTTTTTCCTGAATGACCAGGGAACTTCTGAAGAATTTTCTTGTCTTCACCACTCATTTCCCCATACGAATATAGTATGTACACGATACCATATCTGGTTTTCCATAGTTTCTGTGGATTTGAACAGGTCCTTATGTCTACACAAGTGCTTTATCCTTTGAGCCATCCCCAATAACACTGTTTATTATTTGTATTATGCAAAAGGCATGAAGTCCCTAGGGATTTCAGTCTAATAAAGGAGAATTTCTCTTGTGACTACTTATATCACACTTATTCTGGGCTGCATCTTCCAAGACTCATGCAGAGTGAGAACAGAAGCTGGGCTCTGGATGAGCAAGAAAAATAAGTAACCATGTAACTTCTACCTGAAAACTTGCCTCATAGTATATTTTACAGGTACTGAACCCAACAAAAATGGAGCAGGTTTAATTTAATGTTGAATTCCTAAATAAATAATTTGACTTAATTAGATATTTTAATTTCATGAAGACAAAACTTTTGATTTTTCTTTCCATTTACCTAGGAAGAAAAAAATCACTGTAATATGAAATTTGGTACTATTTTTGTCTTCATGATTCATAGTTTTGAAAATCCTTTATAAACAATCTCTGAGGATTTTCATTATTGCTCATAAAATTATCTTAGAAAGTTGTTAATGAGCATAGGATGATTCAGAATGATTTAAATATCTTATTAAAATACTCAAGTGGAATTGGTCCCAGTAAGGTCTTCCAATACTCAATGTAGAAGATAATTACAGATCAAATATTTCACAAAATTTTGAGTTGATTTCCTTGACTTGGGAATATACTGTTTTCTTCAAATGACGTTTAAATAAATATATCTTAGAAATAGCATTCATGGGGAAATGGCCGCTGTGTAGTTACGACGGAGGCAGATCCCGGGAACCGTGCTTCGACGTGTCAGAAAGAATCTTGGCAGTAGCTTAAAGACATCACTGACTTCTGGATCCTGCATAAAGCCCAAGGAGAGAAGAAATGGGCCGCTCTAATTCTAGATCACATTCTTCAAGATCAAAGTCTAGATCACAGTCTAGTTCTAGGTCAAGATCAAGATCACATTCTAGAAAGAAGAGATACAGTTCTAGGTCTCGTTCCAGGACATATTCAAGGTCTCGTAGTAGAGATCGTATTTATTCTAGAGATTATCGTCGAGATTACAGGAATAATAGAGGAATGAGACGGCCTTATGGGTACAGAGGACGGGGTAGAGGGTATTATCAAGGAGGAGGAGGTAGATACCATCGAGGTGGCTATAGACCTGTCTGGAATAGAAGGCATTCTAGGAGTCCTAGACGAGGTCGGTCACGTTCCAGGAGTCCAAAAAGAAGATCCGTTTCTTCTCAAAGATCCCGAAGCAGATCCCGTCGATCATACAGATCCTCTAGGTCTCCAAGATCATCATCATCTCGTTCTTCATCCCCATATAGCAAATCTCCTGTCTCTAAAAGACGAGGGTCTCAGGAAAAACAAACCAAAAAAGCTGAAGGGGAACCCCAAGAAGAGAGTCCTTTAAAAAGCAAATCACAGGAGGAACCAAAGGATACATTTGAACATGACCCATCTGAGTCTATTGATGAGTTTAATAAATCTGCCACATCTGGTGATATCTGGCCTGGCCTTTCAGCCTATGATAATAGTCCAAGATCACCTCATAGTCCTTCACCTATTGCTACACCACCCAGTCAGAGTTCATCTTGCTCAGATGCCCCCATGCTTAGTACAGTCCACTCTGCCAAAAATACCCCTTCTCAGCATTCACATTCCATTCAGCACAGTCCTGAAAGGTCTGGATCTGGTTCTGTTGGAAATGGGTCTAGTCGATACAGTCCTTCCCAGAATAGTCCGATTCATCATATCCCTTCACGAAGAAGCCCTGCAAAGACAGTTGCACCACAGAATGCTCCAAGAGAGGAATCTAGGGGGCGGTCCTCTTTTTATCCTGATGGAGGAGATCAGGAAACAGCAAAGACAGGAAAGTTTTTAAAAAGGTTCACAGATGAAGAGTCTAGAGTGTTCCTGCTTGATAGGGGTAATCCCAGGGATAAAGAGGCCCCCAAGGAGAAAGGATCAGAGAAAGGCAGGGCAGAGGGAGATTGGGAAGACCAGGAAGTTCTAGATTACTTCAGTGATAAAGAGTCTGGAAAACAAAAGTTTAATGATTCAGAAGGGGATGACACAGAGGAGACAGAGGATTATAGACAGTTCAGGAAATCGGTCCTGGCAGATCAGGGGAAAAGCTTTGCTACTTCATCTCACCGGAATACTGAGGAGGAAGGACCCAAATATAAGTCCAAAGTTTCACTAAAAGGCAATAGAGAAAGTGATGGATTTAGAGAAGAAAAAAATTATAAACTGAAAGAGACTGGATACATAGTGGAAAGGCCTAGCACTGCAAAAGATAAGCACAAGGAAGAAGACAAAGGTTCTGAAAGAATAACAGTAAAGAAAGAAACACAGTCACCTGAGCAGGTAAAGTCTGAAAAGCTCAAAGACCTCTTTGATTACAGTCCCCCTCTACACAAGAATCTAGATGCACGAGAAAAGTCTATCTTCAGAGAGGAGAGCCCTCTTAGGATCAAAATGATAGCCAGTGATTCTCATCGTCCTGAAGTCAAACTCAAAATGGCACCTGTTCCTCTTGATGATCCTAACAGGCCAGCCTCCTTGACTAAAGACAGGCTACTTGCTAGTACGCTTGTCCATTCTGTCAAGAAGGAGCAAGAATTCCGATCCATCTTTGACCACATTAAGTTGCCTCAGGCCAGCAAAAGCACTTCAGAGTCATTTATACAACACATTGTATCCTTGGTTCATATTGTTAAAGAGTTATACTTCAAATCACCTGCAGTAACCCTAAATAGCAGTTTACTTCATACCAGAAAGTCACTGAAGAACATAGTACCCAGCAAAAGAGTCCTGAGATACACAGGAGGATTTACATCTCTCCAAGTGCTCTGAGGAAGCATACCCATTTAGCAGGGGAAGAGAGAGTTTTTAAAGAAGAAAATCAGAAGGGGGATAAAAAAAATTCAGGTGTGATTCAGCTGATCTTCGGCATGACATTGATCATCACCATAAAGAAAGAGGTAAAGAATGGGGGGGGATTCCAAGGGCTCCAGGGAATCTAGTGGATCAAGAAAGCAAGAAAAAACTCCAAAAGATTACAAGGAATACAAATCTTATAAAGATGACAGCAAACATAAAGGTAGAGAGCAAGACCATTCTCGATCATCATCTTCTTCAGCATCACCTTCCTCACCGAGTTCTCGAGAAGAAAAAGATAGTAAGAAAGAAAGAGAAGACGAGTTTAAAGCTCATCATGAGATCAAAGACTACTCGGGATTTGCAGGAGTTAGCAGGCCTCGAGGGACCTTTAGAAGTACTTCTTGCATGATGACAGAGATGATGGTGTGGATTATTGGGCCAAAAGAGGAAGAGGTCGTGGTACTTTTCAACGTGGCAGAGGGCGCTTTAATTTCAAAAAATCAGGTAGCAGTCCAAAATGGACTCATGACAAATACCAAGGGGATGGGATTGTTGAAGATGAAGAAGAGACCATGGAAAATAATGAAGAAAAGAAGGACAGACGCAAAGAAGAAAAGGTAGACATTTTCTGATTCTTTTTTTTTTTCCTGCCCACAGATTTCATTTAGTATGGGCTTGACAGGCAAATCTGTAGATCAACTTTTAGAAATAATTATCATTAATATTCACTACCTCACAGCTTTATTGACCTATTTTTTTTTTTCCCCTTTTAGGAATAGTATCAAGATTGCAACAGAGAGCACAACTTGACACTCAGTTTTTTTAAACCTGATTTTTGTTTTCAAATAAGAATGTAAACATTTTACTTAAAATTTACTGTTTGCAAGTAGTCTATAGGAATTTTGTTTTAAGTCTTCAGATACCTTGGGGAAAAATAGTAGACTGTATGTTGAAAATTGTATTGAAATAAAGTAGAAAATGTTCCGTACCATATTTGTAACAAAAAAAAAAAAAAAGAAATAGCATTCATGTTAGATGTGACTGTGCCCTTTATCCATAACTTTGGAGCAAGCAGAAAATATGTACAAAATTTCAGATATGCTGTGTAGGAACAAAGCATTCGGAAAGAGCTGAATTACTTAGGCAATGTCACCATCACCAAAGGTGTTTAGAACCTATTTTGAATATTTTATTCTACCTATTAATTTTTGCTTTGAAATGATTTCCTGTGTCTTTGAGCAAGGGCAACCTCTCACTGGGCTTAATGAATCATTTAAATGATACGTTTGAAATGACATTTCCACTGACACTTGGAAACTGCCACTGCTGTATCTTTCTGGGTAGGGGACAACAATAAAAGCCCCTTCTCACTCTTACAATATTGACAGGTGGAACTCAGCATTGCACTGTCTGCTCCGCCAAGGCCATACACTTACTGCAGGTAAGCAACAAATAGGTTTGCAACAGTACCAAGCAAGCAAAGAATGCTCAGTTCCAGGAACGGGTGGGATGTAGCAAGATTCTGCTTTTGATGCTGTCTGTGCACTCTCAGCACTGTGGGCATGCAGCTATAAATGCATATTCATTTAGTATACTTTGAAGGTAGGAATGCTTTCCAATTTAAAAAGACCTATTATCACAAAAGAGTTACATAAGTAACCTAAAATTTCACCTCTCCAACTGTGAATACTAAATAGGTACAGAATTTATTAACTATGTCTAGTTTGGCTTAGAATTATGTTCCCATGCCATATTTCATGAAACAACTGTGACCTATGTGGAGGCTAGTTTACTTTGCTGACTCGTCCACTGTTAATTTAGGCCCTGATCTGGACAGTCTTAGTGATTTTGTCAGCATGAGTAAACTTTTAACAGGCTTCTTTCAGATTTTGAAGCTATGACATCCACTTTTCATGAACCATTCAGTTAAGAACACTTGTAGTTACAACTCCTTTTTCTACCCCAAAATATAACTTAAAAAGTAAAAAGACTTGCAATTTGTACAACTTAAGATAGTGTTCACAGTACTGGAAGGCTAGCTATTCTGCACACTACTGTGGGTGAAAGGCACCTATCAACCCAGCTACATCAGTGACCTGTCTGCAATAGTGGCACAAAACTTGCAGGAATAATCAGCTACTATCTGATAGATCTAAACATTCTTAGCACTCTGAGAGGTGCTGTAGTAACTTTGCAAAAAACACACAGAACAGGTGATTTTCCTGACCTTTGTGTATTTCATACATGAACACTGCATTCACTGTAATCTAACTTACATTTGGGGTATTCTGGTACACATTATATACCTTCAATTATTATAAAAGATTTTGAAGATGGATTTGTGTCTTCCTGATTGCTCAATATAATTACACGTACAGTAAGAACTGTCTTAAAGAGACTGTAGCCAGTAAATAACTAGAATGCATTGGTGAATGAAGAGTTAAGATCTGAGGCCCTCTGCATCCCAGGCCAGGCTTCAGGGTAAGAAGTGTTATCAGTGTGGATTGTAGATGGGTAACCCTTTGCTCTATGTCTAAAAATCAAAAATGAGTGAGCACATACTATGTTTATCTTTTTGTGGTTGGGTTACCTCACTCAGGATGGTTTCTTCTAGTTCCATCCATTTACCTGCAAATTTCAAGATTCCATTTTTTTTCTACTGAGTAGTACTCCATAGTGTTAATGTACCACATTTTCTCTATCCATTCTTCAGTTGAGGGGCATCTAGGTTGCTTCCAGGTTCTGGCTATTAAAAATAATGCTTCTATGAACATATGTACTTATTATATGAGTTTGCATTCTTTGGGTATATGCCCAAGAGAGGAATTGCTGGATCTTGAGGTAGACTAATTCCCATTTTCCTGAGAAAATTGACTTTGAAAGTGGTTGTACAAGTTTGCACTCCCACCAGCAATGGAGGAGAACTTTACAAAAGAGGAACTCTCTCCAGCATAAATTGTCACTGGTGTTACTGATTTTAGCCATTCTGTCAGGAGTAAGATGGTATCACAAAGTGGTTTTGAGTTGCATTTCCCTGATGGCTAAGGATGTTGAACACTTTCTCAAGTGTCTTTCAGCCATTTTGGAATCCTCTGTTGAGAATTCTCTATTTAGTTCTGCACTCCAATTTTTAATTACATTGTTTAGTGTTTTGGTGGCTAGGTTCTTGAGTTCATTGTACATTTTGGTGATCAGCCCTCTGTCAGATGTGGGGTTGGTGAATATCTTTTCCCATTCTGTGGGCTGGCGTATTGTCTTGCTGACTGTGTCCTTTGTTTTACAGAAGCTTCTTAGTTTCAGGAGGTCCCATTTATTAATTGTCGATCTCAATGTTTGTGCTACTGGTGTTATGTTCAGAAATTGGTCTGTACCAATTAGTTCAAGGGTACCACCTACCTTCTCTTCCAGGAGGTTCAGTGTGGCTGAATTTATGTTGAGGTCTTTGATCGACTTGGAATTAAGTTTTGTGCATGTAGATAGATATGGATCAATCTGCAATCTTCTACATGTCCAAATCCAGTTATGCTAATGCCATTTGTTGAAGATGCTTTCTTTTTTCCACTGTATAACTTTAGCATCTTTGTCAAAAATCATGTGTTCATATGTGTGTGGGTTAATATCAGGGTTTTCAATTCAATTCCATTAGTCTATCTGTCTATTTTTTTGTGCCAATACCAAGCTGTTTTCAGGACTATGGCTCCATAATAGAGCTTGAAGTCAGGGATGGTGATGTCTCCATCCCTTATTGTACATGGTTGTTTTGGCTATCCTGTGTTTTTTGTTTTTTCCATATGAAGTTGAGTATTGTTCTTTTACGGTCTGAAAAATTGTGTTGGGATTTTGATGGGAATTGCATTGAATCTGTAGATTGCTTTTGGCAAGATTGCCATTTTTACTATGTTGATCCTATCTATCCAAGAGCATGGGAGATCTTTCCATTATCTGGTATCTTCTTTAATTTCTTTCTTTAAAGACTCAAAGTTTTTACTATACAGGTCTTTCTTGTTTTTGGTTAGTGTTACCCCAAGAGAATATTGCATAGTTCCTTGAAGAAGGGGATGAGGAGAATAATGCCTGAGTAAAGTGGGAGGGGGAAGGAAGGAGGTAGGAAGGGAAGTAGGGGAGGGGGGAGGAAGACAAGAGGACTGAAATGGGGAGGAATAGAGGAGGGCAAGAAAGGAGATAACTTGATAGAGGGAGACAGTACAGGTTCGGAGAGAGGTCTGGCACAGAGAAAATGTTAGAGGATTCACAGGGATGACCCCAACTAAGAAGCCAGGCAGGGGTGGAAAGGATGCCACTAATGCCCTTCCCCTATAATGAGATTGATGCCTAACTTGGTTACCATTCCTAGAGCCTTCATCCAGTAGCTGTTCGAAGCAGAAACAGGCACCCACAGCTAAACACTGAACCATACTACTGAAATCCAGTTGTGGAGAGGGATGAGGAAGGAACAAAGGAGCCAAGACAGGGCTGGAGAAACCTGCAGAAACAGTGGACCTGAGCTACTGATTGCATGGAGACCCTAGTCATAAAGCTGTGGAAACAGCATTGGACCAAACCAAGCCCTCTGAATGTGGTGCCAGCTAGGAGGCCAAGACAGTCTATGGGACCTTTAACAATACAGCCAGTCTAATTTTCTTGTGATAAGAGCAGGAATAGAAACTGGTTGGGCAGTTTTAGGTCAGAGACCTGAAAAAGGGGCGTTTTTGTCATTAATTGAAACTAAATATGGTCTGGATTATGTCCTAGCTGGATGCCAGAAATGCCAGAGAGTTTGGAACCCTAATTTCTTGTCTTGTTTCTTATTATTTTTCTTCTCCTTTCACACAAAATTCTGGGGCCAGTTGCCCATCCTTTTTGGTAAACAGCACTAGAATTTAATACATGAATCTTTGTGGTGGAAATGTCTGTATCTCTCATAATGTCAGCAGTAATGTTATTAATCTGTGGACCTTGTGGTCTCAGCCACTGTCTTATTTTTATCTCCTCTTGTTTTCAGTTGATTTATACTCAATACAATCCCACTGCAGTCCGATTCTAATATTTGCATTCCCTTGGTCATCTTCCAAGGCTTAAAAATCAGACAGAAGGGAGACCAAACCTTCACCTTCACCTCACCTTTAGCCCATTCCCTTTAGGGAATTTATGACTTTAGGGTATCAACTTTTTTTTTTTTGGTTGTATTTTCTTGAGACATGATTTCTCCAGGTAGCCCTGGCTGTCCTGAAACTTAGTATGCACACCAGGCTGTCTTCAAACTCTGAGATCCACCTTTCTCTGCCTGCTGAATGTTGTTGGCATTAAAGGTGTGAGCCACCACTGCTAGGGCAGGGTATCAACTCCTGACAGAGCAGTGACAAATAGCTTGGAGGCCATTGAGCAGGGACCTCACCTTTCAATTTTCCTGGCAGCACTAGGAAAGGAACTCTCAGGTTTGTACCCTCTTTGAGGCTAAATATCTTTTGAAAAGGCAGAAGTGACTCTGTTGAGGCTCCTTTCTCCTGGTAAAGTAAAAAATTAAAAAGGCACCTGAGTTCTATCTCTGGCTCTGGGTGCAGATATAACATTCAGATGTGTTCCACAGATTAGAAAAATCACATGCTCCTCTAAGCATTAATCCAGATAGTCCCATCAATCAACTGGCTAAGACACTAGCCTACAGGAAAGGTGGTCCACAGGGAAGCTGTTTGAGCTAACAACATGCCAAGATTATGAGAGTACTAATTTTTCTCTTAATGAAATAATGTAATCCCGCCCAGAGGTGGCTTCCCCAAGGCAGTGCTTACAGAGTTTCACTGCTAGAACTGTCCACCTTTTGGACTTCTCTCTAAAGTTTTAAGTCTCCTTTCTGTCTCTTTTGGGGATAGTGACCAAAGTCCTAAGTATGTTTTTTTTCTGGCACTGGGTCATTTCTCTCTTTCTCTGAAGTTCCCCTTGCTCTTCCACTGTGCAGCTGCTTCTTAAGCTCCATTGTTGAGTTTGCTAGCTTT